GCGTGCTGCAGGGCTTTCCCCTTGCCGGGGTTTGGGTCCTTTCCCCTTTTTGGTCGGTAGTCTGGGCCCCCCCCCCCCCCCCCCCCGCACTAAAAACTGCTGCCACTGATCTTCCAATGGGTTGCTGTTTTTGTGTTACAGCACCAAGGAGCACTACGTCAACCGCAAGCTACTAGTTGTTGAGGAGCGCCACTCGCCCATGGTCCAGCGCAACTCGAGGGGAGGTAAGCAAACGCGGCCGGCCCTCCTTGCTCTTGCCTCTTGTGTCTGTCGCTGTCGCTGTCGCTGTCACTGTCACCTATCGTAACTGCTTCTTGCCGGATGAGGTAGAAAAAGGTCGGCGAGCAGGTAGCGTCGAAAGAGGGAACCAGGAAGGCATCCAGCAAGCCCGGAAACTTGATCTGCTCATGTTTGAACATCCCGACACCTTTCTGCCTGAAGGTCTAAACCGATGCATGTACAATGAAGCTGTTTTTCTCTGTCCCTCGAGCGGTATATATGCATACGTTGTCGAGGCAATGCCCGCCCGGCACAGAACCATGCATGTGTTTTCAGTTTATATGCTCGACAAGGTATATATATAAATACATTTTTTTTTCATTTTTTGTTGTGGTGTTTTCCTTTTTGGCCTCGTTTTCGCTTGTCTTGTGACACACACTACACTCTCTCTGTCGTGCTGTTGTGTTGTTTCACTAAATACTGGTAAACGCAGAACACGGCGGCGGCAGGGGCGGTCGCAACGGGGGCCGCGGGCGTGTGTCGAGCGGCAGGGACGGCAGGTAATTTTGTTTTCCACTGGAATGGGACTGATTTTCGAAAGCGCAGTAGTTGGGTGGGTGAAATTTTTTGACGCTGCATTGATTTGGGAGGTGAAATACGAAGCAGTGATAGAAACCGGCGCACTGCTTGCGGGTCGGTCACTCCGTCTGTGTTTCCATTTTCGGCACAAGAAAACAGCGTTCGTGTCTCTCAAATACCCATCCGTCGCGCTTGGTCCATTGATTCATGCTTTATGCCTTGGGTACTTAACGCAACCAGGTAAGCAAGCGGTAGCATCATCCCTCGCTCATGCATCCGTCTTCCTTCTGGACCTCCTTGTTCTGAACACACCTCGTTTTCTGAAAATCGCGCTTTGTTTGATTTTTTTCTCCCGACGATGAATCAAGGGACGGGGACCGGCGTCCCACGGGGAGGGGGGGGCGCGATCGTCCTGATGGCCCTAAGGACGGCGGCTACCGGGCTAGAGGACGGGCAGAGGCCTAGCTGACGCGTGCCGTGTTTTTTGTGGGTGTAGGGGCGTGGATGGTCGGAAGGAGGCAGGAAGGAAACAACGCGGCAAGCCAGCCAGCGTTTGATAGAAAGCCTTTTCCCTCCAACGCCCGCCGGCTACTCCGGTAAACGTGAAGCGAGCACATGGAAAGTTGTCGAATGATGTGTGTCGAGTCGGATGATGATGCATGGATCTTTGCTTGCATACGGCGGGTGCGCTGCCGGTAGCGAAGGGAATAGCATGGCTTGGGTTACGCTGTTGACGATCTGATGCATGTGACGCGGAATCTGGTGCTTCGGACCGTTTATGTCGCCTGTCTTGTCTCCAACGAAACGGGAAATACAACGTCCCGTTCAAGACAAGGCAAGACAAGCGACTAATTTAAAATTGTTGGTGGAGAGTTGACAGAGACGAGTTTGGCGGCAAGTATTCGGGACAGGACCGGACCGAGATGTTGTGTCTTTTCCTTTCATGGTCGTGGCGGGCAGGAGTTGTTAGTGTAGCGAAGGCGGGACGCCGATCGCCCTCTCGCCTTGTTCATGCCGGGCCTGTCAAGAGACCTCGGAACTTAGTGTCCGGCAGCAAACACGAGGTTGAGGTTTTTAATTGCAGGCATCTGCCAACCGAGCACACGCTAGAGCTTGTGTTTTTGGAGGCAGGGGCGACCGGGGAAGCGTCTGTGCCTGTCGTGCTGTCCGTTCATGAAGATAATTGGCCGACATCGCGAGAGTCTGTCTAGAAGGGCGGGGATTATAAGGAGCGCGTGTTGTGATGTTGGCCTCGGGGATGGTGCGAAAGTGCTCGAGACAGCGAGAGAAGGGCGCGGGGGGGGGGGGGGGGGGGGGGGGGCCTTTTTGGGAAACCCGGGCCCCAAAAACCCAATGGCAGCCGAAAACACCCCAAAATTTTTTTTCGGGAAGAAAAATTAAAACTTTTTTTATTTAATCGGGCGGGCCCCCCCGGGGTTATCCCGGCCTTTTCTTCTTGAAATTTTTTGGAAAATTTTCCCCCGTTCCAAGCCCTCCGGCGTCCCGGGGGGGTAAAAAAAAAATTCGCTTTTAAGGGTTTTTCCGGGGAAAAAAAAAAAGGGTTTTTGCTACCATTTTTTTTTATCCCCTTTTACCCTTCAACCTTTTTTTTCCTTCTTTTAAAAAAAATTTAAAATTTTTC